TGTAGGAACTCGGCAGCTTTAATGTATTCAGCGTGTGTGTGTAACTGGAGCACTGGTCTAGTTTCCTGCAGACACCCCACCACCTCCCCCAGGTAAAGGCCATGCCTGGCTGCCAAGGCAGCAAGGAGTAAACCACGGGCTAACGTGGCCGTGGCGCCTAAGAGTCGGAAGCGCCCCTGCCTGCCGCCGGCTCCTCCCCCCGCGTCTCCCGGCTCCCACCTCTGGCTCTGCCGTGGCCTGAGCTCTCTCCGAGGGGCCTGTGCTGGGCCTGCAGGGTGCTGACCGCGGAGGCTCCTACTGCTGCCCGGCGGGATCACGCCCTGCTGCTGCGGAAGGACGAGCCGCGGCGAGGAGGCAGAACCGGCACCGGTGGCCAGGCTCTACTGGAGCAGAGCTGTCGCCAGCGGCTTCCGTCTTCACTTACCCCGCACGCAGGAGAAGAGTTCAAACACTGAAGTGGCGCGTGTGCCGCCACAGACCCAGGGCGCACGGTGGGCGGCCGCCACAGACCCAGGGCGCACGGTGGGCGGCCGCCACAGACCCAGGGCGCACGGTGGGCGGCCCCAGGTTTGGCTCGCCACCCCCCTCCCCCCCACCCCGGGTTTGCCTGGCTGAGAGGGACACAAGAGAGACTGTCATGTGGCTTGTTGGGCTCCTTGAATGACATGTACGACTTAAGTGCAAAGACAGGGAGTGTCAATAAAGATGTAAAACACTTCCAGTTCAGTCTGGGGCCTTCTGGATTGAGAGTTGCTGCCGAAAAGCAAACTACAGTAAGTGACTTCAACGGCTGCAGAAAGTAAGCTTGAGTAAATTCATCTCAACCATGCAACCGTTATCCCTCAGCATCCACGCCGTGCACTTGGGGGTTGTTCTTGGCTTGTACAGACAGACAGACTAGATGTGCTTGGAGGTCAGAGTCCCCATGTGAGCCCCACAGCTGAAAAGGGGGCTCCTCCAGGGGGTGCTGGACATTCACATTGAACCCGCAGCTCTCACAGCAGATGCAGCTGTAAGGACTCCTGAGCTCCCAGGCAACAAGAGGCCCAACCCAAAACCGACCACACTGAACACTGAGGTCATCTGAGGAAAGCAGGACTCCTCCCGTGGAGAGCACGCCCTGTTCCCGGGAAGCCCAGGCCCCTCACTCCTCTACTGGCAGCCACACCAAACCCTTAGCTCCACGTGGTCTTTGCTAATCAGGTTGGTAAAACCTGTTGGCCAACCAAGTGCCACTGGGGCTCCCCAGAGCCCCAGGGAAAGATGTGGACAATGGAAACAAGTTTCCTTGGCCGACATCAAGCCACCAAGGTACTCTTATGCTGTAAGAATGTTTTTTCCAGAACTGCTAGCAAATGAGAGCCCAGGGCGGCCAGTGGACAGAGAGGCCTGCCTTCTCCCTCACCCCCTCCGCCAGCTAGGGCGAAGGGGCCAAAACGGAAGGCGGGGCCTCTCTGTCCGGGGCATGGGGGTGGGCCAGCACCCTTGCCCCATTTCTACAGCTGGGGAATTGGCTAGCAGTGGCTTCCTAGAAATGACTCATGGGAAAAACCCCACTGCAGTGGAGCATTTTCAGGAAAACCCAGTGGGCACATGCTTCTGCCCTCTCCACCTCACACCCCCTTTAAAGACCTTACCTGGTGCCAAAGGGGACAAATGCTCAATAGCCGGAAAGGCAGGGAGCAGACAGAAGGTAGAGAATTACTTTTCTCCACTCCACAGTCGGTGCTTAGAGCAGCGAGTGAAACACCCCCTCTGCCGGTGCATCCTGACTCATTTATTGACAACGGAGAACTTCCGCTCTCGATCCACGACTGCAGCAGGTCCTGCGTTGACTTCAATGGGATGAAAGCTGGACCGTGGTTCACAGGAGTCAGCGTCTGTAGAAGGGAAAGGCTGTCCTCTTGCACAGAGGGAAGCAATATGGGCTGAGCTCAGGCTGGGAGGCTCGGAGCAGCTCCTCCAGACGTCAGCGGCCCAGCGCTGTGAGCCTGGGAGTGAGACGTGTGGACCAGGCCCCTGGACTCTGATCAGGCACAAGGTTACAACTTCTGAAACAAGGGGTTGCTGAGAAGGTGGTCAGGGCGCCCCCCGGGAGAAGCAGAGACAGGACCGGGACGTTCTGCCCCCACATCTAACATCAGCAAACGGCCTCACGCTTAAATGGCGAAAAACAACGAAAGACGACCAGCGGTAAAGACCGCAAATCAGTGCAAACTTCATTTGACGTCACTCCCGTTAGTGCGTTAACCTTTCTCAGTGACCCTATCATCTTGAGTTATTTCTCACAATTTGCCGTTTGAAAGGAAACACGTATCTGTGATCAGAGACATGTGAAACGTGGCTTTACACGCATCCACACCCACTTCCTAAACATCTACACGTGCTGTCCCTGTCCCCTCCCATCAACGGGAAAGGACAGCGCAGAGTCTGGTGGCGCAGCGGGGCCATGGTGGAGACGGGCTCTCGGTGCTCCCCTGCTCCTGCCCAAGCGCTGGCGGCCAGTTCCAGTTCCTGATCGTGAACCTCCCTGTCTGAGCTCTTCCCTTCTCTCGCGGAGCACACCCCACAGAGCCGCGGCTCCCTCCTCCCCCCTCCCCCCCCACCTCTCGCCCAGCCCACTCTGTTGCTTCCAGTGGCCAACAAGCAGAAAGCGGCAGCTTCCCCACGTGGAGGCGGAGGCACACTCTCGAGCGGCTAGTGAGAGCCGGCAGGCTCAGTGTGTGCTTAGCCGTCTGGGGGATAAAGATACTCAAATAGCATAACATGGGGGGATGTGGTTTTTGATCCAAGAACACTTTGACTCTCCTAACAGCTGATGAAAACATCAGGACGGCTAAGTAGTATTCACCCAGAGGAAGGGTTTAATGCAAGGCGCTCAGGGGACCCCTGAAGGGCTGAGGGGCGGGGGAAGCAGCCCGGAGGGTGCCAGGGAGACTCCCCTAGAAATCACATATGTATGAATGGATCACTGCCTGGCAGAACCTACAAAGCAAGAGAGGTTAGTTCCTGTGGGTGTAGCTTCACTCTGGAGTCAGGTTTTATAAAAACAAGCACCAAAAAAGAAGTCCTTTCTATACACAAATTTAAGTGTCAGCAAAGAACTAATGCTAATTTATGGAAATTATCAATTTCTGGCAAGAGATTAGAGGATTTAGTGTCCTCTGAAGGAGAGAGTCAGATGCATTCAGTTTACGTTTGTTTATTGTTGTAACATTTTGTTTTGAACATCAAACACTGCACCAAAATATGAGCCATTTATCTTAAGACAGTTGTCTTCGCCATAAACTAAGTACTGAACTGATGTTTACAATTAATTTCTGACAAGTTAAAAAACTTGTTAGTGGCACTGCTGTGCCTAATAATCAAATATGTCATCACAGACTGAACGTAATGATTAAAAGGGTAAAGTTTTCCCTTCCCTCTCTTACCTTTAAAACAAACCAAAAAAGTAGTTTTCACCTGGAAAGAGCACTTACTTTAAACAAAAACTCAATCTTCAACCAGTTTCATTAAACCCAGCATATTCTCTAAAACAGAGGAAGACAAGGCTTCCCAGAGTAATTATGATGATACTTGAAAAGATGATAAAATTCCCTGGGAGAGTCTGTTTTCACCAACTTGCAAAACCTGAGAGTTTACTCTCTGCCCATTTCTTCAGTCTTGCCTGCAGCTTCAAGGACACACTCCAGAAGGGCCACGTGCAGCCAAAGGCACGAGCACTTTCCGGCTGGTTAGCTGGCTCTTGTTCCTAGATTGTCAACAGCTTTCATTTCATGACATCACACTAGTTAAGTTTTTTTTTTTTTTTCCAGTTGAAAACTATGCAGATGTTTTAAAGCACAGCAAACACGATACTGACACGTGGGCCAAGTCTGCATGCTCTGGGCCCACGCGTGCACTTCGTAAGCCCTGCAGAGATACAGATGTCAACACTAGAGCCATACAAGCTTCAGCACGCGGACACCAAGGCAGAGACTTAAGTCAGGTTGGACTGGAAAGAGGGAAAGGGGCCACGGCCATTTCACCAGTGGAGCAGCGGAGAGAGCGATTAGAAGAGCCCAGTCCACCTCGGCCCCCCCTCAACCCGTGACGTTGCCTGTCTCCGAAAGCAGCGAGAGGCTGCTGCTCCTTCATTAGCTCCCATCAGAAGGGTCTGTGTACAAACACACTCGAGGGCATCTCTCTTTCACAGAAAGAACAAATGTCATTTGTACCAAATGGCAATGGATTTTCAGCACAAACTTAATACTTTAACACTACAGTAATAGTAATCATCTACTTTCAGCAAGAGGGACTCCTTTAAATAAGGAAAAAGACTCAGGTTAATTAGCATATGTACCCACTGGATCAATCCGCGGTGACAAAATGATAAAGTCTAGTGCTGACGGCCCCCAGGCAGAGGGGTCGGCCACCCTCAGTGCGGGGCCGGGAGGCCTGGGTTCCCAGGTTCGACCCTCTAAGATGCCCCTGTGTCCAGAGAGAAGAGCTTATCGAGAAAAAGAAAGTGTCTAGTCAGAAACTCCTTAAAGGACAGCCAACAAAGGACTACAGAAGGTGTGTTACCAAGATTTCCGTACCGCACGTAGCAAAGCCCTACGAAGCTCAGGGTAACTGCCTAAAGCAAGCGTGGGGCGACGGCCAATGGCATCTACGAGATGAAGTAACTGCAGGGCCACCGTACGAAGAACTGATTTCACTAACTGGGCAGAACTTCACTCAAGCACAACCTATCTTCCCTGACCTACCGTACGTAAATCAATTCTTTAAATGATGAGTCCTTGAGCTATTTACGGTGGGACGGTTTGCACCGGAGGAAGCGTGTGTGGCTCCGCCAGCCTCTGCCACTGAGAGCTGCGTTCCGGGGACTGTGCCATCGTCCCTGCACCCAACAGCACTGGGAAGCACGGCTCAATGGAGTCAGGGACTTTCAACTCTCCAATCTGGAAAATAACCTCCCCCATTTCCCCAGCTCTAGATCAGCTATTATTTCGGTGGAGCCAACTACAAGGAAGAGTGCCCCTGCCAGACCAGCACAGGGAAAGCACAGGTGGGAAAGGAAGCCGTGGGGGCCGGGGGCCGTGCCTGCACTGCTCTGCAGCGTTCCCATCGGGCGCCCGCCCTCCGCTCTGGAACCTGCCCACTGCTCTCTCACCCAACGCAGGGCTGTGTGTGGGCCCTGCTGGTCCCAGGAGAGCTCCTAACAGTTCTCTCGATTTTAACACCAAGGGGACCGTCCACACCCAGCCTCACCTCTGCAGGCTCGTGCTCACGGCTCTGCAGAGGCTTGTGGACAGAACCCCCGCTTCCCTGGGGCGGCCTGCTCGGGTCCGACAAGAGCTCATCACAACTAGGCTGGGAAACTGGACTGCAGGCAGGGGGACGGAGAAAGGACCCTTCCCAGGACCCGTCACAAGTGCTCATCTGCATTTCCAAGGCCTCCCTAAGAACAGAGCTGTTCCTTGGTGTTGAACCAACTCCTGCTGCTAGGACGGCTCTTACGGGCATCACATACATCCTGCAAGACCTGCTCCTTCCTGCCAGTCCGAGACACGACACCTCAGTTCAGGTCCCCACCGTGGAATAGTCACAGGTGAGAAGGCAATGACATAAGGAACTTATGTTCCCCCGAAGCCCACGTCTGTCACCCCGGGGGCCCGAGCAAGCGTCCCGTTTCCATGGAGCAGGGAGGGAGGAGCCACAGAAGAAATGTGCACAGGCGGTTTGGACCGACATCACCAACTGGACCCTGATCCCCCGAAGAAAGCCCTCCCTTTGAGAGAAACACTTTCAACTGCCCAGTGGAAATTAGAACACTTTACTTTGTGCAACATTTTGGTCCACTCTTAGCTTCTTTTTTCTTCTTTTTAAATCAAGCAATTAAAGGAGCACCCAGCACACAACACAGAGCGTGTGGGAGGACAGGCCAGTGATGGGAGGACAGGCCAGTGAAAAAAGCCCAGGCCTCCAGCCTCAGGCCCAAGCTCCCCTCGCGGCTTCAGCCGCGGCACCGAACAGCAGCCCCTCAGGGTCCGGGAGGGGGAAGGGGGAAGGCGGTTCCAGCCCCAGCAGCTTTCCCGTCCCTGCTGGTGCCCGACTGTCAGCACGTCTTGTCCCACACCTGTGGCCGGGAGGGGACCCCCATGTCCTCTGTCCAGCAGAAGAGCTGGTCACCTTCCCTTGCTGCGAGGCGAGTGACGGAGGGCCTCCCGCTGGAGGTGCGGCCTCAGGCCAGGTCGTCCAGGTCCACCTCAGGGATCGGGTCTCGCCAGTAGCAGAAGGAGCTGAACTCCGGGCACGGAAAGGCAGAATTCTGTTCCTTGTTGAGAAGTGGGAACACGTGTTCCACGAGCTCGCTCAGTCTGTGATACCTGGCAGAAGGAAGTGGGAGGAAGCACAGCAACTGTTATTCATCAGTTGATCTGAGAGCACAGACTGTAGATCGTACAGCCAGTTACTCAGATTCCGCAGATGGCAAGGATCCCAGACAGGCCTCCTTCTCAGGGCACCGCCGCCCTCCTCAAAGTCTAGGCCCCTCAGCAACCCCCCCAACAGCTACGGCAGAGGAGAAGACACCCCGGCAGACAGGAAAGCCTCCAAAGGCAGGTGCAGTTCTGATTCTTGGCCCCTGGCTGCAGGGCTCCAGGCTGAGAAGTGGGAACGCACTTACGATGACTTGTTTCCTTTGGTCCTTTCTTGTATCAGCTCACCCTTGGGGTTCACAGTGAAGATCCTGCAGTCTGGAACTCCAACTTGTGTGTAAGCGTAGACATCCTGCAGCAGAAAACATGGGGCAGGGTGATTACAGAGAGAAGAAATGAGGAGATGGTCCTGCGGTTCCTGTGAGCCAGAAAATCGCCTCGAAAGGGGACTGTGTACGGAAATCACGTGAAGCTGGTGCGGCACAGCTTTGCCACTGGAGCCGAGCTTTAGACAAACACAAACTAAAGAGCGGATCCACCGCAGAGGGTGCTCGGGAAGCCAGAAAACTTGGGCGCCACGGAGACGCCAGGGGCCTCGGAGCAGGAGATGGGAAGTGGTAATCAAGGGGGGCCCTCGAGACCTGGTTCTGGGGTGAATCCAAGACTCGGCTTAGAATCACTCAGAACAAGAGTCGGAACTGCTTGAGGAAATGGAATTGAAGCCACAGAGACAGAGGGCGTGCCCTTTGTCACACACCTACATTCTGGGGCACATCTCCACCGACAGGCCCTTCCCAACCGCTGGAGAAAATTTACAACAGATAAAGTGAAAGCCTACTCAGCAGAACAGACATTGATTGTGCGTATACAACTGGTCTGAGAATTAACACAGGGCTATACCCTAAAAGTACCCTCCTCTGAGTTTCACACACCACATCCGAGTGTGTAGCGCAGAAGACACACTTACGTTTGGACGGTTTCCAAAGGCTGCATAGAACGGCTGCTTAGACGGGGCAAAGAGATTCTTGATATCATTTAGACACTCAATTTTGAACTTCTCTGGTTTCTTTTCTATTACTTCCCTAGGAGAAGAAAATACAAATATAATCACCAAATCCAAAATGGTAGTTTTCCTTGGTATGTGGTCCTAAAAAGATTTTACAGTGCTCACAACCACCCAATTTTTTTAATCCTTCATAACCGGTATCTTGCTCCTTCTTTGCCAACCTGACTTCTCAACCGTGTCTGACACAGACCAGGTGAGCTATGTGTGAGTTAGAACAATACGGAACCAAGATGCAGAAGCTCTGCGACAGATACAGTCTCGTCAGGCCCCCGTGTGCGCGCAGGCTGCACGCACACACACGCATACGCACACAGAGGCACCTGTGGAAGGCGGAGAACAGGCTGCTGGGGGACAGCATGAGGGGGCCGCGGGGCAGGATTGTGCCCTTGTCGTTGACCCAGTGCAGGTAGCCGCGGGTCATGTCGGCCATGCCGATGGCGCGGGCGGAGCAGTATAGGAACTTGTAGCCATTCCTGAAAGAGAACATGTCCTGTTTAGCCTGTGTGCTTTGGCTAAAGGGGGGAAAATGTGTTTTTCTTTTTAAAGGTCCAAATAAAGTTCCTCTCATTTACTATGAAAATCAAATTCTTAAATTTAATAAGAAAAACTGTTAGGATTATAAAGATCTCACCATTCCATCAAAAACACCACGGGGGGAAAATGGAGGTACGTGCAACTAGGGATTACGCTAAATTTACAAGTAATGATATAGCTTCAGCATCTGGTCCATGGAAGCCAAATTACAAAACAGACAAAAATTTGAGGTTATCTTTAAACAATCTGCTATAGATGAAAGATACAAAGGATTTTACTTATATAGGCAATTTCCAGAATGCAGATCATTCTATAAAACAAGGAGCCAAACTTTACCTGGGTGACTGACATACTCACAATTTTCATATTATGACATTTTCAACTTGTGCTTAAGACACTGTAATTCTGCAGATCAACTTAACTCATAGGTATTAGGATCCCACAAAGGCCACGGCACTATTTTCTCACAAAAAAAGTACTCTGACAGAGAGGACCCCATGGTAAATTGATTACCCCATGCATGCATTACCTACTTAAAGCAATACAATTAAAAATACTCAAAAAACCAAACCTGAAAATTGGCTCTCCTGTTAAATTACAGCTAAAACCCCCAAGTACAGCTATGATTATAGACACAGGCAGTGCCTACAACCCACAGCCCTGCGAAAACAAGATGACAAGGTTAACGTGCGTAACAACGCATACCATGACAGGCACAGAGCTCCTGTCCCACAGATGGCGGCTCACACTTTCCCCTGCGTGAGGCTCTAGGAAGGGGTGGGAAAGGAGAGCGGGAATAGCTGGATCATGAACAAGATTTCTGTGGACTGGCTGATGAACACCCTTTTTCTACAGTTCAAGCAAAATTCTAGCTCACCAGACACGTGGGTCGGGATACCTACTCATTGATGGAATGGTAGAGCTTTGCGATACCCTGATGAGTCCAGTCTTTACCCAGCTGTGGAAGGATCTGTCCTAAAGCATCAGACCTAAGAGGGCAGAAACAGAAAAAGGTATCAGGAATCAAGCATATAAAGCCAAGTGTTTACCTATTTAGTTCAATACGAGCTGCCAGCGGCTGCCGGATGGGGGAGAGGTGGAGGGACAATGCCCAAAGGCGGTTTCCTCGGCCTGTGCACAGGAGACAAGGACCCCACCAGGGGCCCAGGGCTGCAGAAGGGCAATCAGACGAGAGGGAACTGACCGCCACACATCCTGTTTTTCTCCTCCCTGATCTCAACAGCTTCTTCTCGCCCCACCATACCAGAATTTGGAGACCAAATAACTAAATCCTCCCCGAAGTTATAATCAATATTCTTTTTTTGGCTGCGCTGCACGGCTTGCGGGATCTCAGTTCCCCAACCAGGGACTGAACCTGGGCCACCGCACCCGTAACCACTGGGCCTCCAGGGAATTCCCCAAGTGTGATTTTTGACCTTACGTCTGTACGGTCCCACCTATTTCCTCCCTCCATAAGATGACTCTGTGGGGACCGCACTCAGGACATCTCAGTGTGTATAGTTTAAGAACTCTCCTGATGGTGGCTGGTTGCCCAGGTGAGGAACCCAAACCCCGCCCCCAAACACTGAGCTGGGCCCCCTTCCCTGTCACCCCAAGGCTCCTGCTTACTTGGTTATCGTCCCGTCGATGTCAGAAATGATGACCTTATCGTTCCAGTCCCACAGGTAAATGGTCCCCGCACAGCGGCAGGTGCCCTGATACTGGGTTGTAATGCTAAACACGACGTCATTTGGGCCATCTTGGAGCTTCAGTTTTGCCTTTTATAAAAAGTATAAGAATAAAAATCAGAGTTTTGAAAATTAATAGCACATCACTTTGATGGAATTACACGCAACAATTAAGTCACACTTTCCAGGAATACGTGGTCAGAGAAACTGCTTATGATACAATGTTACGTGAAAAAGGACCCCAGCCTCTTAAATACATAAATGTGTGTGAACACAGAAAGAATGGATGGAAATACACAAGACATAGTAACTGTTTAAAAAAAAAAAAAAAAAAAAAAAAAAAAAAAAAAAA